GGAGTGCACCCTGGGGACTCGCCACCCATCCCCGGCCAGCCCCCGGGCTGGTGGCACCGGCCCCGCGCTGTGCGGCCGCGGTCGGCACACTGCTCGGGAACGGGGCGACACGGTCGTGCCTTCTGCCTGTGCCTCGCGTGGGACTCTCGGCAGTTACTGGCTCCAAGACTACCCCGTGCCTTCTCTCGTTGTCGTTGCTCAGGTCAAAACGTGGTTTCAGAATCGCAGAGCCAAATGGAGGCGTCTAAAGCAGGTACGTGGATGTTTCAGTTTCTATAGAAATAAGTATTTTAATTGTCTTATCTTACTCGGTGCTCGCCTATTCCAGGTTGTATGCAGAAGTCATCTGAAAGGCTGTTTAACCTCTTCACCTTGATTAAAAAGACAAATAGTCATGCTGGAATCTATGAGGGCTCGTTCAGGCAGCACTAACGTTAAAAGCTCCTAATGTAGTTCCTATATCAATTATGCCTGTCTTTCACACACCACCTATTAAAACTCCACACTAATTGTTTTGTAAACCCATATGCTGTTTAGCCAATTAACGTGGAGAAGATAAGTAATTGTCAGTAAATTACTTAGGCAGGGTTTTTGTGAGAACAATATTTACTGGTGTTTTAAATCGCCCTCTCTTAATAAACACAAGTCGATTTATTTTGCAAACGCTGGGAGAGGCAGGTACAAACACCTTGTTTGTTTGGAGGAGCCGCATGGAAAATTGAGTAGCTTTTACTTTTGGTTCACAAATAATTACAGTGTATGAAGCTGAGAGGTTAAAGCAGTTTCTCTTCCCTTAGAAATCGTGCTCAAGCAGACAGTTACTTTTTTTTGCGGCCCATAGGGCCCAATCCTGCCTAACTCGGCTGTCGTTGTGGCCCAAGTCTGGCTTCAGTAAGTGTGACATGGTCAGCTGAGTTTTACTGGCAAATCAGCCTTTAATATAAGAAAAGAAATTTCTTTAATAAGAAAAGAAAACTGATCACAGTGCCATGCTCTAGATGTATTTGCTCTGTGACCTTCGCCTGGGCTCAACCCGATCCTCAGTTGATTAATCAAGTCCCATTACTCTGGCAAGAGGTAGGCAGGGTCCCTGGCAGGGCCTGAGCCATGCTGCAGTGTCCAGGGAGCTTGCTTGGGATCTCGGCCATTTTAAGTCATTTCCTCCTTTTCCTCCAGTCACATCCATTTCTCCAGGCCCACACGGTTATGTCACGGGTACGTGTCTCTGCCTGCTTTCTTTTAAGAGTATCATTTCATGCCCCCTTAGGGGACTGGGCTCTCCAGACAGCTGCCGACACACAGGGCTACTCCTGCCTTCAGAAACAGGGGTTTGGTTCAGTTTGCTTTTAGTGGTGGGTGTTTTAATGTTGAGTTTTAGCTTAATTAGTAATCTTTTCCCCTTTTGCTTTTGGACCACTGATGGATTCAACTTCCCTCCTTTTGCTGGTGGGTGTAATTAAAGAAAGATCAGGGCAGAAGGAAGCTGTGTGTCGGTGTTTGTAGACTCATAATAAACATTTGCTTTGCTAAAGACAAAAGTTCAGAGATTCCTGGGCTCCAGCAGCTCCTGACTCTTTTGAAGTGGCTGCGATAACCATCGCCAAGGAGCCTTATTCACAGCAGCAGCCTCTGTGGCTGTGGGGGAGTGGATCAGAGCTGAGCCCCTGTGTGCAGGCTGAGCCCTTGCCCAGCCCTGTCCCACTCCGGCAGGTTTAGAGGCAGGAGGCCCAGGGAGGTAGCGGGACACCTGCCTTTTCCTGCAAGAAACCCAAGGTGGTTTTCTCACACAGAACAGCTGGAATTCCCAAGTCTCCTGTCTCTGTGGCCCATAGTTCTGTATCAAGCAGGCTTCTTTCATTGCAGGAGAATCCCCAGGCCACCAAAAAAGAAGAAGTGGAAGGTGCTGACAGTCACAGTGACCAAAGGCCGGAGAGCTGCCAGACCCCAGAGCAGAAGGGTAAGGAGGTCTCTCTGGATGGCTCACAGTACACCCCCTCACCAGCCTCACAGGAGGACCTGGAGTCAGAAGTCTCTGATGACTCTGATCAAGAAGTGGACATTGAAGGCGATAAAGGCTATTACAATTCTACCCACTAACAGCCCCATGCAGAGAGTGGACCCTAACTCAGCTTGCACTTTACCAGGGGCTGGTTTGAAAGAATATTATGCTACAGGAGAAAACTTTCACCGTTCCACTGAAAGGGAAAAAAAAAGGCATCACCAAATAGACTCATTTTATAACAAGCAGTGAAAGAAAGATGTATTTTCTGCAAACAGTCCATTTTTGTCAGATCTCTAATTTGGTTAAAGGATCATGGTTTGTATTTAATTATTTGTAAGATATATTTGTACAATAATCAATGTTCTAACTGGAATATAATCCTGCACCCTGTTCTTACTCATGGCAGGGCAGGGGGGAGGAGGTGTCTGAATAAGCTGCCATTGGTAATCAGGCAAAACTCCTCTCTAGCTACTGTGGAAGTGAGTATGGATTGGAGGACTAAGCCCTTTGTATGTGCAAACAAATATAGTTTAAATAGATTAATTTAAACGCCCTTTGCAAGCAGAGAATCGTGTTCTGTGAAACAGGGAGGGATTAAACCATCCCGAGAAGTGCCTTATGCTCACACCCTTTTAGGTGTTGTGGTGCTCTCTACTAAGACATCCCTCCATTTTTTCAGGTAGAATCTTTGGACAGATTAATTTTTCCTCTTGTGTGAGATGAAATGTGCCTTTTCAGATTTTTGAGAACTTTGCCTCACAGTCTGGATGGTTCCATTTGCAGAGAAAAAAAACCCCAAAACCAGACAAACATATTTTTCTCCTTTAAAATCTTTAGCACTGTTTTTTATGGATTCCATATTTGAGAAGAAGATGCAGGGAGTGATAGGGCCCTGCTGCAGGAGAGAAACTGGCATCAGCTGTGGATAAGTGAGGCACAGAGCTGTGGGAAGATAATACCTATCATATACATATCTGCTTCTGTACATACTAGTTTTGTTTAAGTCTTGTGGTTTTATACCTCACGTTGTTCATATTTTGTACATATTTGTTCAATGTTAAAAAAGGCAGAACCCTGGTATTTAATTTTTGATGGACATGTCTGTGAAATAAACCGAAACTCTGCACCACCCTCCACGCTGGCTGTCCAGTTACTGGCAGGAGAAAAACCAAACCTCCCCTCCGCCAGCACTGCCCCAGGCGTGTTTTAATCGGGCTTTTCCTCGGGCCCGCAGCCTTCGGGGTGCCCTCGGTTTCAGGGATCTCGTGGGCTCAGTACTGGGGTTTCTGGCTGTTTCTCAGCCTGCCACGCCGCGTTTCGCTTTTGCCTGTACCGGGGCGCGGGCTGGAGGAGGAGCGGGGCCTGCGGTGCCTGC